GTACGTTACAAATGTGTAAAAACAAAAATTACAGTTATTGTACAAAAGCAAAATATATAATAGTATCGTCACCACTCACTATTCTCGGTATAATCTTCTTCTTCGTCGTCTTCTCGATACCTCGGTACTGTCGTTTCTTCCTTCAAATCCGCTTTTACCTCAGTCAAATGTTCATCATCGTTGTCTACATCATCAGTAAATATAGTACTTTCGCTATTAGACTCATTAATGATTGTTACTGTTCCATCAGAAATATAATCGTTCGTAGTTATTGACAACGTACTGTCTTCTTCGGAGGGAGAGTGCGAAAATTCAGTACTCATATCTTTCTCTTCTGTTGTATCCGTGTTAAACATATCAAACAATCCTCCTTTTTCATTATCATTTGCAGTATTCGTAGTGATATCAGTAGCAGAACTGGTACTACCATCAGTGTACTCAGTACGTAATGGAAATAAAGAAGCATCTGCATTTATCTCCGTAGTAGAATGGACTTCTTCTGTTTTATATGTCGTCGCTAATGTACTAATGAATTCTGTTGTCGATGTTTTTCGAGGGTTATTCTTTCTACGGAAGAAACGTTTTACCGAGCCAATCAATTTTCTAAAGAAATATCGAATTTTTTGTAGAATTCCCGATGATGAACTTAAATCATCGTTATCCGTAGTCAATGCTTTTGCTTTTGAATGATGGTTTAATGTAGATGTTGTGCATATGTCATTAGCACTCGTACATTTCATCAACACTAGAACGTTCGTTGTTTCTTCAATTGAACACTTTAATAGATGATTATTCTCTATCAATTTCCAACATTTTTCTACCAAGTAATTTTCGATTAAATCTGGTTTCTTATCAAATAATTTCCACTTGATGAAATAATGAGACTTATAAGTTTCATTATTATAGATACAATTGATCATTGACTGATGATCAAGTAAATAATAAAATTTTGCTGGATCGATTCTACTTTGCCAAACAATCACATCACCATAGTGGATAACATTCAAACAAAATCGATTAGAATTATCGTCAACGTGTTTAACTAAGGATAAACTGTTGATTATTGATATCGTAATACCAACAATAAGAATGATTAGGACACGCATAATTTTCGAAAAAAAGTCGATTATTTCTTTATCTTGTCTTGATGAATACTACATATATACATCTATATGTACAATGGAGAAAATTATGTGTCATGAAGATGTAGATGAAAATGTTGTACTCTTTTCTCTTTTTCTCAATACTAACATTATTTTCATTAGATCTCGAGTTCTAGATCTTTCCCGTTTCTCTGAAACATTACTATGGATCGTTATATATTCGTCAATATGTATAAAATAGAATGTAAAAGAGAAATTCTTTTTTGTAGCAGTATCTTTTTGAACTGAATTGTAATGAATGAGTATTTTCAGTCTGTTTTGTAGTCATAAGAAAAACATTATAAGAAAACACTAAACAGAACTGTAACAGAAAGAACATGCGTCATCGCTAAATATGTCAGTATTAGTTCTAAGAAAAACAATGTTTTTCCTCGTACAGAAAAAAAAATACTGCATAACAATTTTTTCTGTTAGATATAGGTGCATGTTTATCAATTTATGATATATGAGAAGAAGAAGACGATCTCATTCATAGAGAAAAAAATAATCATTATAATGTTTGATGTAACTTTTACATTCAAATAACTAATCGAAGCTTAAAATATTTGAAATTGATGTTATGCAGAGATGTCTTATAATTCATATCCATTTTATTAACCAAAAATCATAAAAAATATATATTTTATAGACAATAGTACGATTATTCAAATTATCTCACAATATCTTACATAGAAAAAAGTATTTTAAAATATTATGAGGTAATGTTGAGCGATATTTCTTAAAATGACAGAATCTTTCACATGTTTAAAATACTCTGGAGCAGTTTGAGATATTGTTAGAAATTGGCTGTTTCAGAATATTTTAAAATAGTTATTTCGATGTGAGATATTGTGGATTCTGCATTGCATTATTCTGCTTTGTCTGACATGATATTGAAATTAATTTTTACAACTTGTCTAACAATAAACTTTTGTTTTGATACCGAAAGAAAAAACTGTAAACTATTTTTCGAATGATATGTTTTGTTCACAATGTTACTATAACAGACATACTAGTAATACTTTTGATTTCGTATTATTAGATCGTGTACGTTTATTTAAAATAATCT